CAGGCGCGTGCCGCCTGCAAGCGCTTCATTGCATGGGGACTTTTTGGCTGCAGATATTCCCAGAGATACCTGCCCTTCGCTGCATCTTGTTCCTCATGGATCTCCTCGCAGGGGCTTTCCCGGGCTCTCCCTTGCGTTTCCCCAAAGGGTGCGAGGACGGGCGCTGTGAGCCAGCCAGCCGACAGGGCGCCTTGTTAAAGGCCTCCCCGAACGTGTCGCCAACTCAGCTGCTCGCACGCGTTGCTCTTCCTTTTTTTCTGCCCCTCTTTTCCGCGCGCGAGGCCGAGTATCTATAATTACTTTCTGCGTTACTGTGCCTTTAAATCAGCTTAAGCAAATACGCGTAGGCAAAGCCTGGCTCAGCACAGCAGCAGCCAGGGGTTTCGGTGCAGCGGAGTGGGAAACCCAAACGGAGGTTCGGGCTGCCGGATGGGGCCAGAGGCCTCATCCCATGCATCACAACGGCCTCACTGGAGGCACGTGCAGGACCCGCTCCGGCTTCTCGATGGCTGCGTTTTGCTCCCGCTTAATCCTTCCTTGGTGCAGCTGTAACTTCATACCTCTAACGTGAGCAGGGATGTGATGCAGAATACACCGTTTTCTTTTATTTCTGGCTGCGTTTTTAGATTCTTCTTGGGCAGCGCTTAAGTCTCGGGGGGGGATCACCTCAATTACCGCCCCCCCAACCATCCCCTTTAAAGGGAGACGCTGCTTGGGGCTGAATCGCACTAAAACATCTGGGGAAGTTCCCCACGCTGGAGCTCCGGAGCCTGCGTCGGGCACTGGACAATCGCATAGGAAAAACCCAAATGCAATTTCTCGCCCGGGTTACTAATGGCAACAAAGATGGAACAAACTCTTCTCAGTGCAGGTGACCCTTACAAGTGCGGCCGGGCGCTGCTTCCCGGCCCTTCCGAGCACCTCCGAAAGCCGCTCGGTCCCCTCTCCTCCCCGTGCTGCTGCCGCAGCTCCAGGGGAAGTAAGCGGCTCACAGGGCGCCGAACTCGGCGCCTGCTACGTCACTGGTTTTACGATTTGCAATCTTCAGGAAGAGCCCATAAATAAATAAATAAAAAGGCGGGGAGGATGGGAGAGGAGGGGGTTTCTTTCTAGGTTTTGTCCCTCTCGGGGAATGAAGGTTACAAAGGTATCTCCTGTGGGTGTGTTTCCAGGGTCAAAGTGCATCCCTTCGTGGCCTTCCACAGTGCCCCCTGGCCAAAGGACTTGCACAGCACCTCGGGAAGAGGAGAAATCCCGTCCGCTGGCGGCCTGGCCGCACAGGGATGCCCTGGTCTTAAAAAAAAAAAAAAAACCAAACAACTCAATTTCCTTCTAGCAAGGCCCATGTCCCAGTTAGACAGCGGTCAGGAGCCTGCGAGTGACAGAAGTGGCGTTCTGCTTCAGGCTGGAGAGTTGTTTTGAGACCGGTGCTGGCAGCAACAGGATTTGGGATTTTTTGTTGCAGCTCGGAAGATGCCGCATTGTAGTGTCCCCTCCATTTGCAAAACGATGAGGGGCTTCATTCTAACGAATGTCAGCGCTTGCCATGGATTCAGTGCCCCGTGTTAGTTTTACGCCAGTGATGCTCTCGCTGAGCGCTGGCTGTTGGAGGCTACTGTGTCCAGCACCTTCGTAAGCTGGCAGCTCTCGATAGCATTTTTGGTTTGGAGTGGGGAAGGGGTCAGGCATGTGGAAACGCTACGTTGCTCTTATTTTATTCTAAACTAGTTTTCCTTGGTGGTCGTTGCATTTGACTGGTCACCTCTTGGGCTAAAGCAGATCGATTCCCCTGCCCCTCTCATTGCAAAGGAAGAGGCTTGAGCAGATGCTTTGTCTGGCCGTGCTGAACTCATGGGGTTAAAAACCACCCAGCTGGAAAATGAAAATATTTTTAAATGCCACCTCAAGTCCCTGGTCTGCTTTAGCAGGACACTGCACAAACGCAGAGGAGGGAGATGGGCTTCTTCAGCAGCTCCTTCTACTCAATGGCGTGTATGTGAAACCATGCCCTAGTTGTGTTCTCCAAGGGGTTGCTACTAGTTTAATTACATCCATTTGAAGTCGTGTTAAGCTGAACCAGTGTAGAGTAGAGATTTGCTTGGCTTGCTTGTGTCATCTCAGTTAAAACCGTCTTTTTTTTGGCCCAGGGAGCCTGTTTCCTCCTCCTTGTTTCGCATTTACCTCCGTGGGACTTTGCTCTTTCCAGCCCGTATTCCCCTCTCCAGTTTGCATCTGAGCCCGTGCTGGCGAGCTGCTGTTTTCTCCACACTTTCTGCTGTTTCTTAGTCGAGGTCTTCATTTCTTTCTCTTCTGTTCCTTCTTTGTCCCCCGCGAAACACCTTTGTCACAGGTCCTGTGTCACCCGTGGAGGACAGAGGCTCAGCACTCGTGCGACAGTGTCCGTCGCTGTCGTCATGTCCTCCTGGCTCTCCTCTGGCGGCTGTCATGTCTCTGCTCTCAACCAGCCCTTACTTCATTGCTCCAAACCGTGCTGCTTTTCTCAGCTCCTCGTAAAAGCCGGGTTATCATTTTCTCCTGCCAGCTCTCTCCTCGGGTCCTGCCCGAGACGGGCTCGCGCTGAGGCTTCCTCGTTCACTGTCTCCAAACTTGCAGTGCCCGTCCGGCCGCATCTCCTTCCCCCCCGCCCCGTCCCCGAACGTCCCTTTGGGCTTCTCCCAAAACATCTGTCCTGCCACCGCGCGCCGGGGCAGCAACTTTCTCCTGCCTTGCTTTCAGTTTAGCCTAAGATGGTGAAATCCCCGCAGATTGTTTGTTCCCCTATTTCCTTTATGTTGCATTTTTCTCCAAGCATCGAAAGACTCCTCCCCTTCCTGCTCCAAGCCACCTCGCACTCGCTTCGGGTATGACCCTGCCGCGCTCCTGGGCGCAACCCCGCTGCCCTGGCCACCGCCGCGCGCTCAGCCACCTCGCAGCGCGCCGCTGCTGCAGACCTCTTCCCCTCGTCATCTGGCATGCGATTTCCATGGGCCATTGGCTCGCTTGTGCATTTTTTTTGAGAGATATCCATGGCTCCTTTATTATTATTATTTTTGCAAGCACACCGCCTTTCCCCAATTTCTCCTCCACCCCTTCTTTTCTGCCAGGAGGATCCCTACAGATGTGTTTCCGCTTAAAATTATGCTCGCGTTTGCCACGGGCAAGGTTGAAACCTTGCGAGCTGCTGGTGGTCCTGTCCGGAGCTTGCGGCCCCGTGAGCTTGTCGGGAAGCAGATGGCTGAATGCGAGTTTGAAATGTGTCGCTTTTCGCTGCTTCCCACTCTCACCTGCTGCACCGAAAACGCTGCTGTGCCCGTCTTAGCCCTCTTCCCCTTCACGTGTGTCGTATTCCTAAGCGCCAGGAACTTCTCTGACAGCGGCGCTGCGCTTTGCAGCCGGTCCTGCTCGTTCTGCCCTCGTCTGCTCGCTAGCGCGATAGATCCTCTCTCCCTTGCGTTTCCCCTGATGTGACTCGAGCAGCAAAGCTGCCTTAATGCTCGGACGACCAGCGCTCCAGGATTGGCTGCAACGTCCTTCCTCAAAAGCTCCACCCAGCCGACAGTGTGCCTTGGATGCTCGCGAATCTTTGGATTTCCGTACGTTTTTCCAGCCCGGACTCCTCCGAATGCCGGCACCTTCGCAAGCACAGTGAGGCGACGCTCGCTTGGCAGCACGTCTGCCGGTGCAGCTTGGCAAACCTTTGCTCCCATCCGGGGTCCCTCGCGGCTGTTCTGCTGCTCTGAGTTTCCCCCCCGCGCCGGGGAAGCGGGAGCGCGCGGCGGAGCGCGCCGGTGGATTGCCGTAATACGAAACCTTGGGGCTGTCAGCGGTTTCAGCATCATTTTGCTCAAAGCTCCGGCTCGTGCCTCGCTCCCCTGTGCTCGAGGTCCCTCTCGCGTCAGAGGGAAAGCCGGCGGGGGGATCTTTCAACGAATACGTGCGAAGGCGCCAGTGGGAATAGCCTCGGGGTAGCCTGTGGTTTGGAGGTAAAAAGAGAGAGAGAGAAAAAAAAAGTTGTTTAATAAGAGTGGGATGTGGGTTCGGTGCTGAAGCGCGGCGCGTTTCTTCTAGACATTTCTATTTTTTCCAGCATGCCAGGCATCAGATCCAGTGTGCCTGATGGGAAAGCTGGGGATAACTCAAGCAAACGCAAGTGTCCCAGAGAGCCTTACCCACCCTCCACTTTTTTTTGTTTTTGCAGGCAGAGGGGCTCCTCGAGCCCCAGTAGGTCCCGGCGGGGGACAAGCAGCTGTCATGATCTCGACAGCACCTCTCTACAGCGGGGTGCACAACTGGACCAGCGCGGAGCGCATTCGCATGTGCGGCCTCAACGAGGAGAGGTGAGGTGCGTGGGTGGCTCGGCGGGGCGAGCAGGGCACGAGTCCGGTGCCTGCGGAGAGCCCGCCGGGGCGCGTTTTCCCAGGATTTGGCCCGGCTGAGGGAAACGGCTGCGGGGTTAAAAGTGCCATTCGCCTGGTGGTGCCCGCATCCAGTGCCCCGGCACGGAGAGGAGCGTGCAGCTACGTGTAGCCACGTTGTATTTCTGGTGCTTATGGGTTGTTGTCAGGCCGTTTGGGGCTTTCGGTGGTGCTACTGGGTTTCATTGGAGCTGTGCAACTGTCCGTACAAGAACTGGGGAAGGAAACAGCTTGACCCGCTATGAGCCAAGCTGTTAAGAAAAGCTTTTGGTGACCCAGGAGGGTTAGAATAGACTGAACGATTAGATGGGAGAGTTGTGACATGCCACCAACTAGGAGATTAGGGAGGATTAGTGGCTGGGAGGCAGAATTGATCGAGGCGGGTCCCCAGCCCGTCCCGTGGCATTGCAGCACCCATTTATTCCTGCAGCTTTGGGCTATCGCTCTCCAAACGAGCCCATTTGGGGCATCCCCACAGTTACGGGCGACTGCCAGGGCTGCCAAGGCTGCCCGGGGTCAGCGACGGCGTGCGCCGACTTCCCGTGCTCAGGGTTGCCTCTGGCAGCAGCTCCTCCGAGAGGCCGGCAGCGGGCTGGGGAAGAGCTGAGACTCCCATTCAGTGG